GGACTCACTCTCGTCCCAGATCTTACGAGTCCCTCCAACTCCACCTCACTCGTCCAGGTGAAACGCTTGAAGGCGATTCTCGCTTGTTCCTTTCAACGTATGCGTGTTGCAGTCTCTCGGTGCGGTCACCGGCTTGCTTGGTTGCTCGGGTATGTATGACTAGTGCAAAAGCTCGTGCGCGCACCGGCTGAAACGAGTCCAATCAGAGCATTTCGCTTTCTGTTCTCTCTTCGTTAGTTTCACTGTTTTTGGAAGCAACCTGCAAAGCAGCATTTCGTGCAGATCGTCATGCACTTTCACCCGGTAACTGCGACTCCACAACTTCTCTCTCCCCGTGACGTTCAGTAGATCCCGCCGCAGAATAGTTTAAACAATCCGCACCTCTTTCGTGGCGTTTTGAAAACGCCAAAATTGAAATGAATAATATTGGAGCACTGACTCGATGCTGCTCAAAGTTACGAGCACCGTCGTAAACCGGCGACGAGACTGGTAACGCGACAAACTACGACACATGATCATTGCCAGCAGTTACCATAGCAACAACTTCCGTAGCCAACAATGCCTCGTCCTCTCATTGTCGGCTGTGAGCTCACACATTCAATGAAATGCTATTCTCATCTCCGAAATTTGACCCCATCACGTCAAAACGGTAGGCCTTTTTGAACTCTCGACCCGATAATGACCAGGCCATGAAGCACTCGAATGACACCCACGAAACGCGGCGCACCGACCGAAGTCGGGAATTCCCTCGGGAATCGGACGGAAAGGGCGGGAGGACGGTTCCCCGTCTGAGGAGACTCCCGATTTCCCCTTTTCGCAACAAAATCCAGCGAGTTCCGTCTCGTCGCATTCTGAACCGACGCGACTTTTTGTCATTTCAAGCAATCCATTGTAAGGGGATGCGCTCCGTCTTCAGAGAATCGCCTGCATGCAAATGCTCGGCGAGTTCCTCTTCGTGGCCTTGACCCTTTCGTGCCCGAATTTTTTACAAAAAGGAACTTTCCTCAAATTCACGCAGAGGATAATAATGCGCTCTAAGGAGGCGTTTACCACACTCGCACTGATGAAACGAAGCCTCTGTCATCATAATCCCGCCGGCAGGAACCGGTCTGATGAGTCAACGCTGACGATACCTCGCAGGCATGCATACGACAGATTAAAAAAAAATTCTGAAAGTCGATGATTCCAAACGGAACCATCCGGCACGAAAGGGCAAAAGCGAGACCCGTCGTTTTAATTCCAGAACGCCCGGGAAGAACCGGGAAAAATTTCGAGCTCGTCCGGAATGAGAGGATCGTCTCGACAGGACGGATCCGATCGAAAGTGTAACGAGTCCGATCTGCAATCGAGTTTCGGGTCGAATGCGAGTCAAGACGCGCGAGCATGCTATTCTCATTGCCGGTATTTGACCTCAACATGAAAATAGGACGATATTTTGGACTTCTGTTCCAAGAAGTATCGCATCCGCCCATAAGCTTTCGACTGACATCTCACTCCTGAGAATCCGTTCATCCGTCTTGGAGGAGGGATAAGAGTCGGCCAGGCATCGACTTCACACAGCCCATCCCTTGGAAATAGTTTTTTTTTTCACAGCGTATAGAGAAATTTTCACAAGTTTCAGATTTCTCGATATAACCGTCTTGCACGGTTTCCCATGCCGAAACGCACGCTTCTCCACCCCGTCCGCTTCCACGCCATGCCCATCATTCCGAACCTTCCGCCCGGAAACGCGTTTCTGCGCAGATCGGCGAGGAATTCGGTTGGAATTCTAGATACTTATGCGCTCATCTGAACTAAACTCCATTTCCTGATTCTAATGTTAATTCGGAGATTTGGAATGACTTCGAAAGCATTTTCGAGGTAAGTTCAACCTCGCTCGAGGACTATCAGGGTTTCATCCACGTGTTTCGTTTTCTCGGGAAATAATTTCATCAGTGCGTAATTTTAAGTCTTCAGTATTCCCGGTTCGCTTCCATTAAGCTTCCATGCATGCAGTGCAAGAAGGCTGATGAGGCGAAATGCCAGACTCTGATCGGATGCAGCCCCGATGCCTCACATCCCCCATGCCTCACATCCCCCATGCCTCACATCCCCCATGCCTCACATCCCCCATGCCTCACATCCCCCATGCCTCTCCATTTCAAGGAAGAGAAATGCGCGAAGGAAGGGGAACGGGCGGTAGAAAAGCTGCGCTTCAACCTGGAGAGGAAGGACTGGAATCTGGAAAAAGATTACGGCGAGGAACTCATCACAATCAAGTCTGCACACGATCAAGAGACCAAGAAAAACATCATGCTTGCGGAGGTTATGTCATTATTTATCTACCCTCCTCCCACGCCCGTCCAGTGAATGAATTAGACAGATGAAACCCTAATCATGTATTTATTCACAACGAAGATAACTTCAGTAGAAGTAACTCGTCGCGAAACGTATCCTTGAGAGTGCAAAACCGGGAATCTCAACCTCTCTTGCATTGAGTTCACCGAAAATAAAAATAAAAATAAATCGACAGACATGAATTCGACTTGGGACATGTCCCGAGAACGAATAATTAAGAAAAATCTCGTTTCCCATCCCAGGCCGTGTTGGACTTCCCGAGCGACTGGGTCTTCGGGGATCTGGCGAACCACACGCTGGAGGCCTCGCCCGACTGGAATCCGGACATCAAGTACTTCGAGGTCGTCCAGGTGAGTCGCGATCGAGTCGTCCAGGTGTGAAAAAAAAAATCGAGAGCATTCCAAGGCAAAGATCCCTCTTACCGGGCTCAGGTCGAGATGCTCCCTGAGAAACATTCGCCGTTGCTATTTGCTTTTATACGAAGGAAACTTCTTGACTGCTTCTAGTAACAAGATATATGGAAAATTTTCAGACGTCCTTCGGAACCACGCGACTGAGATGTGCAGGATCCCAGGTATAAAAAAAAGATTCTCGGAAAAGGAACTCTGCCATTGACAAAGAAAGAAAGAGAGACAGAGAGGGAGAAATGCGAATCCCATTTCCAAACGTGGAAAACCATCAGAGGAGAATTCTTAAAACACCCGACTAAGGACTCTCTCTCCCTCTCTCTCCCTTTCTCTCTCTCTCACCATTTCTCTCCCTCTCTCCCCCTTTCTCTCTCTCTGTCTCGTTAGGGCGTTTCCTCTCGTCGCGCTCTCCACAAGAGGAATGAAATTGCGAAATGGAGCTTTGCCACTGCCCCACGGAAATTTAAATTTCTCACCATACAGGGAATGGATTTGATCCCAGAAGGACGGACGGATGCCAACAAGAAAAGGGCCCAGCCCCAAATATTATATATGTTGCTGAGATGAGTATAAAGAAATATATATATAAGAAAAGCAGGCCACTTTGTTTGCCGGAATATCTCAGATGAATAAGAACGATACACACGAAGTAAAAAAAAAAACAATTTACTCTAAAATCTCACAAATTTGATACAAATGTTCGAGCTTTTCAAAGTCAAGGTACTAAGTACTGGCAGCTGGCAGTCCCCAGCGAGGAAACTGGGGTCTTGGTACTTCTTTGGTACTTCTCGTCTTGCGTTTTCGAAGTTGATTTTGCGACTGGGTTGCGTAATTAATAATTAATAATTTTGAGCCATGCTAAATTATTATTGACTTCATTATTAATTTTATTATACCTAGAATGAAAATAAAAAACTTTTAACTATAATGCCAATTAATGGCAAAAAATATCACGCAACATTAATTAAATTAACTGAAGTGAGAATAGCTAAAAATCCCACCATGAACTAATTTACACCATTGATTAATTAATAATTAATTAAATGCCATTGTTTCCTGTGCGCCTGAGCTAAAACGTTAATTTTGCGAGGCACTTGAAAGGCTTCTGAGATGAAGAATTTCGATCATCATCACAGTCATTTGAAAAAAATGCTGAATCCTTGCTGAAATTGCTGAAGGCGAGAATTTTTGTCATCAGCTTTCAGTATTTTTCTTAAAGTCGAGAAAATGAAATCGCCAAAAAAAAAAAACGATTCCACTTCCAGGGCAAGCCTCCGGCCATTTTTGTCATTTGGTCACGTGCCAATTTGCCATTTCGGAGAGGCATCTGTCGGTTTTTCGTGCGTTGAAGAAGTTGCTGCATTTGAAGCAATGGGTGGAGTTCTTTAGAAACGGGCAGGAATCTCCTCTATTTACCTGAAATGCCACGTGCAAGAATGCATGATATCGGATGGAGAAATTCCAAAAATGTAATCGGTATTATTTTTTTGAGACGCGGTGTTAATAAATTTAATTAAATTAAATTAATTTTGAAGTGTATTATGCCTTCATGACAAAAAGGTCATGATGATGATCCAAAACTGCCTTGAGGCATAAGAGAATGGGACAGACTGTTTCAACAAATTTTCCTTTTCGGCATCGCCTCCCTGGACACAAATGCTGGAATTGCTGAAATTGCTGGAACAGTGCTTTAAATTTATTGGGAAATTTTCATTTTCCACAGTCGACTAAAAATGCTGAAATGGCTTCACCGAAGAGACACCATTGTCTGTTTCACCTTCGCGGTCGCTTCACAGGAAGTTTTGCTTTAAAATTTTATTATTGAATGAGCTGTTTTATCGGGATGATTACATTCATATCATATGAATTGCTTAAATACTAAATACAAATTAATAAAATTGCTATGCATTCAAAATGCTACAACTTGAAACTGATATTTTTAGTGACTGAAACGTGCCTCACATGCCAATTATGATTAAAATTACACACGCCCCAAAAACCAATTGCTAGCCCTTGAAATTACCGAAAAGGACGAATGAATCCGGGAACCGAATTTCATCTCTCTCCGATCATTCCTACTACCTCAGGGCAGAAACTTTTGGATCGCCCTTGGAACGAGAACTTTTCCCCTTCCCGCAGCGGCTGACGGATCGTTGCTGGGTGGCTAATGAAGCGACGCAGCCGAAGCTCGGGGGTCTCTTCTACAGTCGAGACATCCCGCATCTGGTTTACTTCAAGAGGATGCACGACGGGGACTTCATTTCGTTTTCCGGGACGAATTGGCCCGGGCTGGAACCGAGAAAGGATATGGTCAGGTGAGGAAGAAGAAAAAATTATTTCTCTCAGGACAGAATGGTGAAAGACTTTCTCGTATTTCGCAGTCGGTCATGAAATAATACAATCGTGGAAGCATGGTGGATTTTTTTTTTTAGATGGCCTTATTTTTTTTTTTTTACGGCAAGTATACGCTTAAAGTTGCCGTTAGGTTCGAGTTTATCGACGCGACGTGCACCGATAAATATAATCTTCCTTCGTGAAGCTAGGACCCTGATTTTTCCCAGAGACCAGATTACTCAACGTATCAAAGCGTGGAAGTAAAAGTTGTCGGATATCTAGTTCATAATGTAATCGACCGATTGCAGATATCAAACTGGTTTACCGACGAGTAAGAAGGAATACTCAAAGGGGATCGGAGAGATCTCGTCAGAAACACGTTTTTGTTTTTTTTCGGCGGAACGGCCTCGAATGAAGGGCATGCAGTGCAAGCGGACAGGGTAGCGAACCGCGCCTGTGGCATGGGATCCCATGCAAGGGATCGCGATTTCTGAAACGTGAATATCAATCACAGAAGCAAGCGCCGCAACCTGGACGTTGACCCCACCATGATCGGACATGTATCAAACATCCCTTCCCCTCGGACGAGGCTGAAAATAATCTCGGGATAATCCTCATCGAGACGCGAAGTCAAGGCATGTCTGGGAATATGTCTCGTAGAGGAAGCCTGCAACGCAGGATTTTTTTTTTTTCGAGGGAGGAAGATGGAAACAAGAAACCCTTTTTGGCAAGGGCATGCACCTCAAAAATTTTCCTTGAGTTCATTTATCCCAGTACTGCAATCTGTAACCGATATCAGCTCCCTACGTCTTCCCGTTTTGCCACAGCGATGAAGAAATCCGGATTTACTCAGCCTCCAAAAAAAAAGTGCCCCGATTTGATACACCCCGAAATAGTATATATTTCCTGAAATCATAATCCCAATAACAATATCATTGCCAAATAGCTTTCTCTTTTTTCGCATTGCCGTTTCTGGGAAAGGGCATGAACCTTGAAATTCGGAATTTGAATCGAAAACCTTCTATCTCTGCCCAATTCTCTGAAGCAAAATAAAATTTTTGCAAAACCTGTGTTTCCCATTAAAATGTTCCTGAAGGAGAAGTATTCGGAAATTTAAATTTTCCGTGAAATCAGGATATCGGTGGAAACCGCCAATTCCTAGTTTCGGCTTTTCAGCTGTCCTTCCGTTTGACTGAAGCCAAATAGTTTATTTGAAAACATCCCCCCACCAAAGAAATAAAAAATTAGCCACCAATTAGCCTTTCAAGCAAAAACTTCCTGGAAATTAGCGTATCAGCAGGCATGTTCATGTTCATTTTCAGCTTACCATGTCTTTCCGTTGGGCGGAAGTGGAAGATGTCCTTTAAAACGTCCTGAAAAAAGGAAAAAAGGTCCCGAGGGCTTTTCTGTCCAAAGTCGAATTTTTTCTGAACATTCTCATCTCAATAGCTATTTGTGTACCAAATTTTATATTTCTAACTTCTTAGAGTAACTTCTTAGAATTAAAGTCAGTCACTCACGATCGTCTGCTTATATTAATTTATATTAGATGGAAGCTTTCAGGAACAACTTCACTTCGCCTACCAGTCAAGAGAAAAAAAGAGAGCACTGCTCTCGCAATGAAGGCAACCGATGGAAGCGTTTTATTTTATATATTTTTTTTAAGCTTTACTAGGTAGAAAGGTCGACGAATGCGCTTATGGGCCCCAGGTCGACCGAAAGAAAGTAAATAGGGTTCAAAAGAGGCCAGGTACTCGAAGGGAAATGTTACGTTCCATTTCAAATAATCTCGTGTGAAATAAAATGTTCCAATTGGTAAGGTGCCTGCATTAAAAAAGAAAGGTCAAAGACACAGAAAGAACCACATTCCATTCGTGAAGCCGTTATTAGGAATCAAATGCTGCAGAACATTCGAGAATGCAGTGAGTCGCATAGGGATCCGGATACGTGTATTCACAAAAGTTCATTTATATCAGAAAATCGACACCAGTATTTTTTAATTTCTCCGCGATCGTCTTCCTCAAGTAACGATATATATTAGAGCTGAAAGTTTTCACTGCTTCGTCGGGGTGCAATTCGAAGGATCGAAAGGACTCTTACATTTTGCCCCTCTCCAATTTCGATTCTCATCTGGTCCCAGCTGCATGCCATTTTCAACGATTACACAGTCACGTTAGAAAAGTTATGACGCCTTAGAGTTTGAGTCCTTTGAGGTTCACGACACTGGACCCACTCGGCTGTTCCGCCTGCATTTGCATTTATTATTTCTCTGATGCTTGGCGGAAACAGGGCGGAGATGTTGGGCGGTGGCGGAATGTATGTATCGCCCGACCCGAAGTACAAGACAACGCGGACCCTGTTTCGCATCGTCAGCGCTGTGGATTTCAAAATCTCCCTCATCCCGTACCGCCTCATCCATACGATGTACGTGGAAGGCTTGCGGAACTGCATCGTCTCCTTGCGGAAGTACCTGGCGACCAGGCGACAGAAGGAGGTCCATTCTGGTAACCAGCGATGAGAAAATCCCCTTCCAGTCTCAAAATGTGATGTCATTTCATTTGATATAAAATCGGTATATGAATAAAGTTACTTATTCTGTCGATGGAGAATGCATCGGGAAACCGTAGTGGGATATATTGAGGGCGATGCAATAGAAATAGAAGCCAGTCTCTGCCTCGTAATATTCCTCAGAAGCGCTACCGTTTATCATCGCAACCATCGGAATTCATGTTTACCCTAAGTTTCATGCAATCCTAGACTGGAGAGCCTATCTTTGACCCTTTTCATAGCATTTCACTTCAATCGAGGAAAAACAGACTGTCATTGGTGAAAGGCTCTGGGCAATTGTAGATTAACTGTCGAGAGAAGCCATGCCAACACGGATTCAACGTTGAATCAACATTGAATCGATGTCGCCTCAATGTCATGTGCGCAGAGCCCTTCATCCTCCCATCATCGTTTCGTGGACGCCGTTTGTCTGTTTATCAAATATAAATGAGAAATGAGGTTTTTGATGGTCGAAGACCGGAAAGAGATGGCATTTTGTTCAATTATGTGACAAAATGAGGGTTTCCTTAACTGAAAGGAGGCCCACTACTGGACTGGGCTTGCCAAAATTGAAATGAATAATATTGGAGCACTGACTCGATGCTGCTCAAAGTTACGAGCACCGTCGTAAACCGGCGACGAGACTGGTAACGCGACAAACTACGACACATTATCATTGCCAGCAGTTATTCAAATAATCATTTGTTTAAATAGGTTCAGCAATCCAATGAGAATACTGTCATTCGTGGAGGCAGCATGGTTCAAATTGGGGCTTTATAGTGGTGAGGATGAAGAAAATTTTGTCGTTTACTTGTGGCAATGCATCATTTCGCTTTGAAAACTGAAGTTAGCGTTCGTTCGTTTTCACTTGTGTGGGTTCCAGTCCCGAGTCCAACGGTTGCCGGATATCGTGCTGGAGATAGGTCGGATTCGCGACAACTTCTACCTTTGTACCGATGCCTGGGTCTTCTGTTTTTTTTTTATTATATTTTATTTAAAAATATGATACATTTTGGTTCTGAGTTCATGGGATTAAGTGAGAATGAAACAATGGTTTGCGGTGGCCGATCGATAAGGTGGTATATATACATACCGTGCCTGGACATCCCTATTAATTATGACCCCCTACTTCTATATAATAAAATCAACTGTGGTCCGTCGTGGTCGGTAGCATGTGCGCGCTCACACACAGGACACACGCGCACACACGCACATCGCGCACTATGCGATCGCGTGTGCTCCCCCACACACATAGTAATGAGTCCGCGCAGCGTGGCCAAAGGCCACTAACGTTCTGAAACGTGCGCGGTGGGTTGCGATGTCCGCAGATCAGCATGAGGCCGCTAATAAAAACCCACATACCGCATTGTCTTACAAAGCGACGATTCAAAGATAACGTCTTGATCTTTGCCCCTCGTCTTTTCGCTCCGCGTCAGTTCCCCTTTCCTTCGCCACGACGATTAACGAAGCGCAGAGAAATTCAGAAATTCCTTCGAGAAATTACGGTCGTTTCAGCCGGGTCCTGGCTTCTCACACGACCAGCCAGTGGCATTTAAATTCTTCCGTGCTCTTTCACGGGCTACCTACTGATGCATTTGAATTTCCGAAGCAGTCTGACCATTCACATCAAAGCCTAGACGTCCCGAAAATTCCCAGATTGGACCTAATTAGGGGATTGAGAGCAACATTTCCCTTGGAAAAACCTCGCGAGCAAGAAAGTCGAAGTCACGTTCTTGCGTGAACGAATCAACGACTCGTCGTGGATTTCCAACGCGCAGAGACTACGTAAACGTAATATTCATGGCAATCGCAAGAAATGTACAGTTTGCAAGGAATTGATATCTTGTTTACGTAAACATGCTGCTTGGGTGCATGCGAATAGAGGTGAAGGTAATTTGTGGAGTCTAACCTTACGTTGTTCCAGCACAAGGTCCCGAGTTATTCGTACGTTAAATATTTTCAGTGAGTGAAAAACAGACCAGATTCAATTCATATTTTCACTCTTTCGAACAATGGACAGGCTTAGGCCCCTTCTAAACCCGTGAGCGGTAGGAAAACAGGTGAGGGATTGGCCGGTTCGAAGGAAAATTCTATTCCTGGTAATTTCCAAACATTTCCTTTACAAATTGGGCAACGAGGGAGAACACCACACGCCCTCTGCCTTGTCTGTCAAGGTTGAACCGGCATAGAACGTGATGCAAAAAATGTCTCAACTGTCTTAAAATTAAGTAATTACCGTCTTTTCTCTATTCACGTGCAGTATTTAAAGAATTGCGTCGATCTGATGAAAAGCACTGTCAGTATTGGCGAAGATGATATGGCACCGTTTTTTTTTTTTAACCGCGAAACGGAGGGACTGCTTGGGCTTGCACAAAATGAAAATGAAATTTCACTGCAGACAGACAAGAAACATGAAGGAATTGATTTCACGAGGATGA